ATGTTTCTCTCTCTATTTCTCCCTCCCTCCCTTCTACTCTAAAAAATCAATGGAGAAAATATCTGCAGGTGAGGATTAACACAAACAAGAAGAAAAGACATATAGACTTATGTGACTACATCAATCTTCAAGCACGTTGCTTTAGGATACCCACAAAGCCAAAAGACAAACCATAGATTAAGAAAACATATTTATCATCTGTATGACAGATGACTGGTTAATATTTACAATACAAAAATGGCTTCTGCACAAAGGATATAAACAAGCACCTTCCAGAACAAACACAAACTTCTAATAGACAAATGCACAAGCACCAGTTGTGCATGTGTGAGTGCACGTGTGTGAATGTGTATGTGCACGTGTGTGGAAAAGGCACGATTTAGTCACAATGAGATCTCGTTTCACTCCCATCAGATTGGCACAAAATGAAAAAGCGTGCTAACACCTGCTGGTGGGTGGGGGCCCGGGGAGTCTTCTCTCATCCCTGGTAGAAATGTGAATCATGAGGGTCAGTGGGAAAAATAACCCATGTGTCCTTTTTTAAAATTGATTTTTAGAGAGAGAGAGAAAGGGAGAGGGAGGGAGAGAAATCCATGTGAGCGTGAAACATCAATTGACTGCCTCCTGCACACCTCCCACCAGGGATGGAGCCCGAAACGTGGGCATGTGCTCTGCCTGGGAATCCAGCCGGCAACCTTTCATTGCACAGGACCACGCCCAACCAATTGAGCCACACCAGCCAGGGCCCCTGTGCCCTTCAATCGCACTCCTGAGACTGACCCAGAGAAAGACGAGCTCCAGGGTGCAGAGGGGCACCTGTGCACTTTCTTTTTCTTTTTTGTTCATCCTCACCCGAGGATATTTTTTCATTGATTTTTTTTAGAGACAGTGGAAGGGAGGGGGAGAGACACACAGAGAGAAACACTGATGTGAGAGAGACACATCCATTGCTTGCCTCCTGTATGTGCCCCGACTTGGGGCAGGAGACCCAGCCCGAAACCGAGATATGTGTCCTTGACGGGAATCGAACCCAAGACCCTTTAGTCCACGGGCTGACGCTCTAGCCACTGAGCTAAACTGGCTAGGGAGCACCTGGGCATTATCTAGCAGGGAATCAGTGTGCTGGATGAGGACAGGGTGAAGTAGTAGGGGCATCACGGAAGCCCACTGGGGCCTGGAGCAGCGTCTGCGCCCAACACCATGGAGTGGGGAGAGCAAGTGCATGGGAAGACATGCCCCATCGTGGAGCCACCAGATTCCTGACAGTCCTCCCAGGGGGCTCGTTGTCCCCCCACCCCCACCATGAGCCTCTGTTACCTACACAATCAGAGCAAAACCAACACAACTAGGTTCACTGGGGGGCAAATCTCCGGGCCCTGGTCTGCCAAGGGAGAGGCAGAGCAACAGAGGTGGACAGGACAGGGCTTGGGGCCGGGAGGGGATGCCTGGGTTTCTCATACTCAGTGTTGCAACTTGCAGCCAAGACGAACTTCTAGAGTTTCAGTTTCTGTGAAATGTGGGGGTTGGCGCAGATGGTTTCTAAGATTCCTCCCAGCTTTGGAACCTCTAAACCGTTAGGCCAAACGTGGGGAGAGGGCCCGTTTGGTACCTATTGGCTTCTCAGCTGTGCTGTGGGGTGGTGGGGAGTGTAAGATGGAGATGATGATAGTGACAACAACGGATAAAGGAACAGGGAGGGGCCAGAAGAAGGACTTCTTAGAGCACAGCCGGGTGGGGGCACAGCCACCAGCCTTCTTCCTTCAGCCTCTCAAACATTGCTGGCACCCTGGAACCCTGAGGGCAGGGCTGAGGCGGTCTGTGGTCCCAGCCCCAGAATCCAGGGCTGGAGGGGACCAGGATGCTGCATGGTTAATGCTGACCACACTTTTTGAGAAGCACTGATAAAAAAAAAAAAAAAAAACGGGGCTGAAAGAGAAAGTTCCAGGCCTCTGGCTTTAATTGGGTCAGTTCAATGGAGGGTTATCTGACTTAGCAAATAGAAACACATTCCCAGTTCAATCTGAATTTCAGATAACAATGAAGGATTTTTCAAGGTAAGCACATCTCATGTGATAGACATTTTGTTTATTTATATTTGTTTTGTTAATCCTCACCCGAGGATATTTTCCCATTGATTTTTAGAGAGAGGGGAAGGGAGGGGAAGAGACAGAGAGAAACATTGATGTGAGAGAGAGACATCGATTGGTTGCCTCCCCAACACACCCTGGCCAGGGCCTGGGATCTAACCTGCAACTGAGTTACGTGCCCTTGACCAGAATCGAACCCAGGACCCTTCAGTCCAAGGTCTGACACTATCCACTGAGCCAAACCGGCAAGGGCATCTCATGTGATATTTTGTGTGTCTTTTTTATACATATTTTTTTTATTGATTTCAGGGAGGGAGGGAGAGGGAAATAGAAACATCAATGATGAGAGAGAATCATTGATCGGCTGCCTCCTGCACGCCCCACACTGGGGATCAAGCCCGCAACCCAGGCATGTGGCTTTGACCAGAATTGAACCCAGGACCCTTCAGTCCGCAGGCTGACACTCTATCCACTGAGCCAAACCGGCTAGGGCTCATGTGATATTTTAGACATACTGGTACTAGAAGATTATTCATCGTCCTGCATTTCATCTGACAACCTTGGGTGGGAGCCCCCTGCAGGAGAGTGGGCTGGGCCTCTGGAGGTCTCTGCCTGCTCCAGGTGTCTCTTCCGCAAGACCTTTGGGTGGATGGCAC